AAAAAAAAAAAAAAAAGCCTCCAAAGGGTCTGAAAAGACGAGTAAGACCACAGGCATGTCTTGCTTTTTAACTTCTCTGCTTCTAGTTGTTAGAAAAATGGACTTCCTTCTAGCTGGAGTCTCTAGATTGTAGCAAGTGCTGTCAGAGTTAGGTACCAGCATCATTTATTTCCTTATCCAGCGCCTAATAATGTAGTTTTGTTTTGTTTTGTTTTAAGGAGCGGAGAGTTTAATAGGCAAGAAAGAAGGACAGAAGAAGAAAACAGCTTCCCCAATAATGTAAATTTTTAAAAAATGTATGTATGTATCAGAACGGGTAGATAACTGGCTTATCAAATCTGCTATTATTTCCCTTTGCCATCTAAGAGACAGTTTACTGCATTATCAGCTGATGCTGTAAGTGCCCGGGTAAGATATTAGCCAGCAAGTTATTTTGGGAAATATTTTTCTATGCCTTTTTCAGAGCATTGCAAAGGCCAGGAGTCATCCTCCCACCCCCTGGGGCTTTACTTGACCTTAAAAACTCAAGGGCAGATGTAGTACACCGCTTGTTCTAGAAGATTTCCACTGATCAGATCGCCTTTCCCCTCCGTGGCAGCCTGGCTGACCACCTCCCCCTTCATGAGGTTGCATCTTTACAGGATCTGCTGATGATGCAATTGCACTTTGGGTCATCGATTGCTGCTTTAGCAGTAACAGTCGACAGCCTTGATTTTTATTATTTTTCAGGATACAGTCCTCCTTTAAAAAACAACTATGCACTTTTCAAATATTTTGACCAGATGTGGGGAGAAGGCTTTGAATTTGACAAGCCAGCCCAGGAAAAGCAAAAAATGAACAAAAGCCAATATAGCCCAGAAATCTGGTTTTAAATACATGTTCTACTAAGGACCTCTTTTGGTCTATGAATAAAATTCGGTTATGTGTATTTTGTGCCTTATTCTGAAATTTTTTTTTTCTTTTTTTTTTTTCTTTTTTTTTTACAACCAGTTCTGGGCATGGATTTTTTTATTTTTTACTTTTATTTTTATTTTTTTAAGGCAGGAAGATTCTCGCTGTGTTGCAGGCTGGACTCCAACTCCTGGGCTCAAGGGATCGTTCCTTCTCAGCCATAGCTGAGACTATGGGCCACTGCCACTGACTACGTTCTTATTCTGAATTTTTAATATCTAATTTGATCATCCCCCATAATTATAGCCAAGATGTTCTTATCTCCTGGCTCTTCTTCATCAGCTCAGCTTTTTTTTTTTTTCCTCTAAAATATGTCGTCTCTATCTGACAGTCTATTCGGAGGAAAAGAAAACCTTAAGACATAAGGTGGACCCTTCTCTGGCAACAGTAACGAGATAAGAATACGAAGCAGGTTCTGCGACTGCATTGCAATGTGATTGGAATGAGTAATCGTTTTTCATTCTGTATAGCATCTTTCTCCACCTACCAAATGCGGAGCCGTGCCATCTCTGCCTCTCGGTGAGGAGAGATTACGACATAGCCAGAGAGATTCACAAAGCATCTTGCAGAGTGGGCCTACTCTACACTCTGGTTTTCACTTTTTATTGGAGTCACAGGTGGGAATGCACCAAACAAAAGACATAGGCTCTGGAATGTATGGGAAAGGGAGTTTCCAGCTAAGGGAAGCACAAAGAAATTTCTATCGTTAAAATGCATAATCTACCGACCCTAATACATTCACATAAAAAGGTAGGCTGTAATAATACCCCGCCGCTCCTCGATTCGGCCGCAGTCGTGGGCGCGGCTTGGGGCTTGGTCACGCCCCTTGAGTCTGGTCCCAAAGGACGCTCCTCACCCCGCCGCGCGCGAGGCGCCGCGTGCGAGGCGCCGCGTGAGACCGGCTTTGCCCCTCCTTCCCGGCAGAAGCGCGGAGAAACGGTTCCTGCGCCTGCGCCCTGCACCACTGCGTGCTTTGGCACCCACTCGGGGGCCTTTGTGCGCGTGCGCGCTCGCGCTCCCGCTCTCTTGCTGTGCTCGGCTGAGTCAGTCAGTCAGTCTGTCGGAGACTGTCCCCGGAGCAGGCAGAGTGAAGGGACTTGGACAAGCCAGTTGCCGGAGTATTCTATTTCCCCTCCCTTTCTTCCGCCCCGTGTCTCTCTTCACCCTTCTCCCGCCCTCGCTCGCGTAGCCATGGCGGAGCCGTCGGCGGCCACTCAATCCCCTTCCATCTCCTCCTCGTCCTCCGGAGCCGAGCCGTCTGCGCCCGGCGGCGGCGGCGGGAGCCCGGGAGGCTGCCCCGCCCTGGGAACGAAGAGCTGCAGCTCCTCCTGTGCGGGTGAGGCGCGCGGGGAGCCCCCGCCCTGGGAAGCAGGGCGAGCTGGGGGCCCGGGAGCTGGGGGAATTAGGAGGCGAGGCGGGAGGAAGGTGAATTACCCTCGGCTACTGACGGCTTCAGCCCCCGGGGAAGAGCGTTTGGAAAATGGGCAAAGGGGAAGGGGAACATAAGGTTGTGCAGGCGGTGAGGAAATAACGGGGTGTGAGGAAAACAGGTTGGGGGCGGGGAGATAGTCCAGTGGGCGTTAACGCCAAGACTGGGCAGGTGGGAAAAATACCAGCTCGTGGGATAAAATGGAGAATTGCTTGATACATATGGTGAACCGGGGTGATTTAGTGGAGGATTAGAGAGCTTGAGAGGATAGGGGCAGGTGGGTGGTGGGAGAAACGATTTGTTACGATTTTTGAGGGGACGGTGGTGAAAGGATTGCATTGCAGGTGTGCAGACAGGTGTTGACATAATCAAATATTCACGATAGCCCTCCAAAATATTTTTGGCTGCCCATAGGGAGGATGGGGAAGTTTAATGGAAGCATTGTAGCTTTTTTTTTCTTTTTTTAAATGTTTTCGGATAGACTTCATGAATGCCGGATTTTTCTGAGGCTCCGAGATAGAAGGAGGCGTGATGAGAATAGCTCAGGGAAGACTTGGGAGGGAGCTGCTGGTGGTCCAAGATGGATCCGTGGCTGTATCTGCAACAGCCTGCTCTTCCCTGCCGCTGCGTGGGGGTGGGGACACGCAATCAGTCGCTTATATTCTAGAAAATAGAGTCATGCTAAGCTATCAACATGTTTTGATTTCATGTTTTCTGTGGGCTACTGTTGATCGAAGTATAACAAAGGGGGGTGTTTACTGCAGAAAGGGGGAGGGGGAGAACATTCAGACAAAGCATGGGCTGGTGGAGTCCCCTTCTCCCATCTCTGTGAAAGACTAAGAGGGAAGCTGCAGGCCTCCTTTAGTTTCCATTGTATATGCGTCTGCCTGCTGGTGGGAGCTGGCTGGCAAGCTCCCCTTATGCAGAAATCTGCAGTGCAGATGCCTTCTTAAGGAAAACACACATACATACACACACACACACACACACACACACACACACACACACACTCTCACTCCATTGGCAGGTGGTGGTTCTTAAAGGAACTGAGTCTTTGAAGGAAAAAATGCGTTTTGTCAAAGGAAGGTCCGTAAATTTGTGAGAGTAGAGATAATTCTGCTCACTAGTTATGTTTAAGGATTTTGAGAATTTTTTTTTAATGCTTCATTGTCTTCTTTGGCAGAATCTCAGATTCTAAAGAAAAAATTTCTGATCTTAACCTTAAATGTGTTATTCTCTACATGTTTTTCTAACAGTGAATTTCCACCTGTCTGAGAGCTTTGAAGCCCTGTTGGATTTTTCAGTGTGGTTATGGCCATTTCAGTAGAAACAGGCAATATCAGGAAGCTTCTGCAGATAAAAGAATGAGGCAGCAAATTTGGAACCCGTGTCCCCTTTAAACCACCAGCATTTCTCCTCCCAATTTTTGTGTTCTGGGCTAAGGTCCAGATGAACAGCGGCTTCCTTATAACTTAGCAACTTGATCTTTTTGCTTTAATCACTTGTCATTACGTGCTGTTTGGTAGGCCCTTTTGTGCATACCTTTTGGATTTTCTTGATTTTTCATTTTTGATTCAGACCTAAGTTTTAGAAATTTGGCCCTATAAGCTCAAGTTAAGACAGATGTTAAGTGAACAGTCATTGTAGTTAGCAGATACGAAAATTTAGTCCTAGTTTTTGTAGATATGCATATATGGTATGCCTTTGTGTCTGTGAACAAAATACTCTTATTTCATTGGCCATGATTTCACCATTTGAGATTCAACCTTTCTATTCCTTTAATGCACTTATGGAAGAATTGGCCTAGTAGGCCAATGAAATTAGTATTTTGTTGACAGATACAAAGGCATACCACAACCTAATTGGGACCTAAATTGGCAATACGAATTTAATGACATAACATAATTCTGTTTGGCTTATCTTTTTTTATGTCATCTACCCTTTTCACAGTTTTTACCTATTTATTGTGTATTTTTTGCACTTTATGATAATGGAAAAATTATGCGCTGAAATTATGTATTTTGCCGAAAGGAGTAGAATTTATATTCTGAAATGCTGTTCCAAGTACATGAGCTTGCATTACATTTTCCTAATAATGTTAAATGTCTCAGTTTTCACTCATTTCTTTCTCTTTTTTTTTGAGACAGGGTCTTGCTCTGTCACAGGCTGAAGTGCAGTGGCTCCCTGCAACCCTCCGCCTCTAGGGTTCAAACGATTCTTAGCTTCAGCCACCTGAGTAGCTGGGATCACAGGCATGCACCTGGCTAATTTTTATATCTTTGGTAGAGATGGGGTTTTACCATTTTGGCCAAGTTGGTCTCAAACTCCTAGCCTCGTGTGATCTGCCTGCCTCAGCCTCACAAAGTGCTGGGATTACAGGTGTGAACCACCGTGACCAGCTTTACCCATTATTTCTTAGTAAAATTTTATCACAGAATTTGTATTTCTTTGATGTGCTGTAGTCACTTGTCACTATTGGCAGTTAAAACAGTATTATATAGTAGTACTTGACACGTATTTGTTGAATAAATGATCAAATTTATGAGCTAGAAAAGCACACTTGAAAAATAAAATAAAAAGAGACTCTGTCTTGTTTGTTGTTTTTGAGACAGAGTCTCACTCTGTAGCCCAAGCTGGAGTGTAGCGGCGTCATCTTGGCTCACTGCAACCTCCCATGCTCTAGCGATTCTCCCACCTCAGCCTCTTGAGTAGGTGGGATTACAGATGTGCACCACCATGCCCAGCTAACTTTTGCACTTTCAGTAGTTATAGGGTTTTACCATGTTGGCCAGGCTGGTCTTCAACTCCTGACCTCAACTGATCCACCCAGCTCGGCCTCCCAAAGTATTGGGATTACAGGCATGAGCCACTGTCCCGGCCGAGAGACTGTATCTTAAGTGGTTATCCATTGCAAATGTGCATTCATATTGTGTAAAAAGCACTAATACAGTTTTGGTGGGCCCAATGCAAGATCCTCATTTGTCAGGTCACTACTTGAACATAAAAGTTTACCTTAAGATACTGCAATATGTATCTTAAGGTAATGCCTGTAGTCCCAGCACTTTGGGAGGCTGAGGTGGTCAATCACCTGAGGTCAGGAGTTCGAGACCAGCCTGAGCAACATGGTGAAACTCTACTTCTACTAAAAAATACAAAAATTAGCCAAGCATGGTCTTGGGCACCTGTAATCCCAGCTAATCAGGAGGCTGAGGCAGCAGAATTGCTTGAACCCAAGAGGCAGAGGTAGCAGTGAGCCGAGATCTCGCCATTGCACTCCAGCCTGGGAGACAGAGCAAAACTCAGTTTAAAAAAAAAAAAAAAAAAAAAAAGATGCTGCAATGTGTAGTAATCATTTTATTGCAGAAGCCCTTCCTCCTTGCAGGATGTTTTCTCCATGTCACAGAGGAACTATTTCAGGCTTTTGCACCATGAAAATAAGATGAAGTTTGTTATTTCAAAATTTAGCTTATTTAAAATATAGATGGTAAAAAATTACCTTGTTTAAAAAAAAGTCTGCAAGTATTGCTGTCAACCTCCAACTTCATTTCACCAAGTTCTTCTTAGTTTTGGACACTCATCTTGGTTTTAGTTAAAGAAAAATGAGTGATTGCTTGGTGTCCTGCAGAAAACAATTTTGTCTTGACTGACCTGTCCAGTAATGAATTGTAGAAGTATTAGTTCCTACATACAGGTAGAGAATGAGTGATGGCATTCTGTGCTTTAGTGCCTTAGGTTCTAGCGCAGCCGGCAAAGTAATATGCTTAGAGATGGGGATTGGGGCCAGTATGACTTCCTATATTTCTCTGTCTTTGAAGGACACTGAAGACTTCAGAGGCAGAAATTTGAAGTTGAGGTAAAAGAGACTGAAATATTTAATGTTCATTTCAAAGCGAGAGTTTCCTTTATTAGACCTCAAGTATAGACACATGTCTATTTAAAAGTGCTTTAATAGTTTACTATTGACATGATGTTGAAATTCTATTAGAGAATGCTCTCTTTATTGTTATGAAACTTGGCTAAGTGCGGTGGGGGGATTGCTTGAACTCACGAGTTTGAGACCAGCCTGGACAATATGGTGAAACCGTGTCTCTACACACGCACTTGTGTGTGCAAGCACAAAAATTAGCTAGGCATGGTGATGTGCGTCTGTAGTCCCAGCCACTTGGGAGGCTGAGTTGGGAGGATGGCTTGAATTGGGGGTGGAGGTTGCAGTGAACTGAGATGGTGCCACTCCACTCTAGCCTGGGTGACAGAGCCAGACCTTGTCCTAAAAAAGGAAAACTAAAAAAGAAAATCATGATTCCAAAATAAAACTACATTTTATATGTTGGTTCATGGAAGTTAGCTCAAAGCAAAACAGCTTGGCCAATTTTTTTATAAAGGTTTTGCTTTAAATATTTCTTTCCTCACTCCTCATGAAACTTAGTTCTGTGTACTTTTTTTTTTTTTTTTTTTTTTTTTTTTTTTTTTT